CCCACCCCCCACCCCTCTTCCTGTCCCCTCAGGGAATTGTTATTTCCATTTCTATATCTGAAAGGTTTATCTATCTTGGATTCCTTGCATCGAACAATCTTAATTATACAGATGAACATTCGTAGGTGTAAAAAGATTAATGGGGTAAAACTAAGGCCATAATAGTAAGGGGAGAAATGATTAAGGAACTAGAGGTTAGTTATGTGTTTCATCAGTACTACCCCCTGGATATGTCATCCCTTCGTTGTGACGCCTTAGTGAGGGGCTGTCCAATTATGTTTCAGAGATGGGTTTGGGTCTCCACTTTGTCTATGCTCCTTCACATCAATTGGACTGCTTGCTTTTGAATTTATGATACTACTCCTGTCAGCCCCTCATGATAACACAGGCTGGCGTGCTTCCTCCACGTGGGCATGGCTACGCATCTATTCTAAATGAAACAGGAAGAGGAAGACAAACTGTGCTGTACAGAAGCTGACCCGGCATACTTTTCCAGACTCACTTTCCAGTGTGACCACGTACTGCCTGAACTGGCCTCCTTGCCATTCCCCCAGCTTTCCCAGCAATTCTGGTCAGGGCAGCCCAGGTCTTCTGGCATATTCTGTGGAATCGCATCTGTCAAACTCAACCCATTCTTCAGGGCCCTAATTTAAATGCAGCCTCTTCAGATAAACCCTCCATCCTCTCCCATGCCCCAGTGATGTTCAAGCACATTCATGAAACCTTGTCACACAGCGTTTACCACACGCATCTCAATCCTACTGTATTGAGTGTAAGAACAATGTCCTTTGGATACTTCTGTTCCTACCTGTCTTCTGTTTAAGGGACCTTTTCTGAATCCACATAATAAGTATTATACTCCATCTTGTACCTCTTCCTAGCTAGGTGATCCTGGGCAAATTACTCAGAGCATCTCTGAACCTCTGCTTTCTCACTGATAAGATAGAAAACTCAACTGCCTACATCTTGCACAGTCGTAAGGACCTCATGAGATAATGCACATAAAACAAAGGGCCATAAATCCAAGATTCCATTACTGTATTACATCATCATCATTTTATAAAATTGGCATAACATTATATTCAGAATACATGAGACATTTTTCTGCTGCATTGATCATGATAAGGAACACATTTATCTGGGTTCTAACAAAAAATAAATAAATAAAGAGGTACCTCTAATTTTAATTTGACATCTTCTCTGGTCTTAGAAATATAGTCCAAACTAGAGATGGCCGACTCTACTCCACTGCAGTACTGACCATAAATAACCAACCTGAAGGGAAAACAGAGAGAGAGAGACATTTACAGGAGAAAAAAAATGAACGAAGTGTTGGGGTGAAGAGGCACCAACTTTCTTTCTTTTTTTTTTTAACCCTTTTATTTGGGACTCGCTCGTACAACTGTTATCACAATCCATCCATCCATCCATTGGAGGTACCAACTTTTCTTTTTTTTTTTAATCATTTTATTGGGGGCTCGTACAACTCTTATCACAATCCATCCAGCCAGCCATTGGAGGCACAAACTTTTCATCTTTTTGAAACCACAGCTAAGGATCATCAAAAGCAACAACAGAAATTCTCTTTGGTGCACACGCCCCGCCAGTCAATAGAATGAGTGAAGTTTGCTCACATTTGTAGTATTACAAATGACTACTTTTTAGTTCCGACTTTAAATGGGCTGGTTCATCATACTACTTATGGCAGACAGATTTGACTAACTTGTTTGATGACCTGTTTATGCTGCTTGAGAAAATAAATATATAAATCGGAGAAACAAAAGTAAGAAATGTGTGTAAGGTCCAGAGACCAGACTTTTACCATTTACTTATACCCAGCAACTATGTTCTTTCCCCTGAAAATTGCATTGAAATCACTGCCTGTATCTGCGTGCAGTAGTACGCCCTTTGCCCCTTCCTGTTTTCAATGAATGAAAATGGGCTCTTGAAAACCTGGGAGTGAGCCATCTGAACTGTGCGGGATGAAGGATGCTCCCATCGCAGCGCCTCAGCTTGCTTCAGGAGGGGTGGTGCTGCAGTAATGCAGAGATTGGAGCAAGAGCCCAATTGGGTTGTCATTTCCTCTGACTCCGCGTTCAAATAAAACTACTAACAAGAAGTTAATGTTTATCTAAGAGTTGCCACACAGCAATCCATTAGATACATTTTAGTATTAGAACGATATGGCTTGTGATAGAGATAAGACTATTTTTTTTGTCATGCCAGAATCCCTTGGTACTCTTACTGATGCGAATCATTTAAGAGATCTTTTCCTCTCCCAGAGAACTAGAAGGGAAACAGACTTTGATCACACAGCTAATACTCCACAGCAGGGCATAAATTAAAAATAGTAAGATGTGGAAGAAATCTTATAGTAGCTATTAGCAGTTGTCAAACTGGCCTCCAACTCCTAGCCCCGGGCACAACCGAAAGATGCTGCCGGGGCCTGTGCCATGGCCATAGCGGGCGTGGCATCAGACAGTAGTGATCTACAGGGTTGCCCCGGACTGTTCTTAAGAAGTCTGTCACCAGACCTTTCCCCTAGTCCACGTGGGTGGGGAAGAGCTATTAAAACTTGTTGAATATCATAGCAGCCTGCAAGCCTTCAGGGACTGGGCAGTTGGCTGGGAACTGAACTGGGAATTGAACTGGGGTCTCCAACAGGGTGAAAAGACGGTACAAACTAACCTAGTCCCAACATTTTCAGGAAGCTCATGGAGCTAGCTTGCTGAAGATTACACAGGTCATTAATGAAAGGATTTATAAAGGAATTTGAGCCTTTTCAATTTTCAATTCAAAAGTGTCTGTACTTCAATGGATTTTATTTTTTGCCCCACAGAGAGTTCAAAATAATAGCCTGAGATAAAATGTCCACATTCTAATCATTACTCCCAGGTAGTAACTTACTAAATAATAACAATAATCTGTATTTTAGTCATTTTAATACTAATCATTACAAGCGTTGTTCATACCCATTACGAAAAATCTTAATGTTAATGTTACCTTTCCTTGTAGTTAATGAAAACTTGATATAAATTCTGATCATTTTTATTTACAATGGAGTCATGAATCTCTTGCATTAGATTCCGATGAATTTTCACAAGTTCCTTAGAGGAGGGGGTGGGGGGAAACAACAACAACAAATGTCAAAGGAAATTAAGACTCAGAACCCAAAACTACACTCTACATGGGGAATCGGAAGGTGCTACCTATGCCACAGATAACTCTGGTGTCAGCAATAGCGAGGGAACACACAAACCCGGCTCTCGGCTCACGCCTCTCCGTGAGGTGGACAGACAGAGTGACTGCAACCATGGATTCCAGCACAAGGTTCACTCTGAGCATGGCCCAGGACCAGGCAGGCTTCCCCCTATTGCACAGCGTGTGCTATGGGTGGAACAGGCTTGAATCAGGCTCACTGTGAGCATGGGCCAGGACCAGGCAGGCTTCCCTCTATTGCACAGC